GAAATTCAAATAATAGATCAAGCTATCAGAATCCAGAGGCACTGGATATATCTGCTTATATAACTGATGAGACCAACGACCAAAAATAAACTTAGGCTACTGACATAATGTCTATTTCTGAACTCAAATTATCAGAAGCAACCCATACAACAGGCGTCAAAGCCACCTGCACCCTCCATGTACATGATATTCTGATGAAATGTACTAAGCGACTAAGTGTTTTAATTCCTCTTAAATTAAATGCCAAAAAAGAACCCCCAAAATCTCATATGAGCAATGTTAAATGTGAAGCAAAAATCTCTAAAAATATTGGTAACACTAAATAAAAGCAGTAGTAGGATGGCAGGGGGGCATGCATCCCAGTTAGTTCCTTGACTTCTTTCTTGATGACTTGGATGACGGCTTGGATTGATCCGCAACTGCAATTTGTGAGGATCCCTTAGAACTAGTTGATTGGTTTGATTTTGAATTGGAAATGCTGGATGTGGAACCAGAAGCACCGGCTTCATGCTTTTCTCTAGCCACAGCACCCTGCGAGCCTCGTACCTGAGCTGCCCTCTTGTCCTTTCTCTTTGGCCTGTAACTTGACCTCTCCCTCTTGGGAAGCCACCTTTCAGGATCTGGTGGAGGACCTGGGTTTGCAGGGTCAAATCCTTTGGGATACCTTGGCTTTCTCTTCCTCTTTTTCTTTTGTTTCTCTTTACTTTTACCTTCTTCATGCGCATTATTGACCCCAGGCTGAGAAGCACCTTCAAAATGTTTTGCCCCAGAAGTCCATTCCAAATTATCAACATTGACGACCTTCAGACCCGGTAATGGCTTCAGTTGCTTCTCATAAGTTTCTGCCTTGTCAATATCTACACGAGCAACTGTAGTTACAAGACCAACCAAAGCATCTATACTTCCATGGCTTTTCACAAGCTCCTCATATAGATGAGCAGCAGCATCCTCCTGCCCATGCCTGAGCTTGAAGGAAGCAGCCTCTTGCATTATTACACTCAGCTTGTTGTCCTCAGTCATGGCATTTGACCACCATTTAATTGCGGAATCAAGGATAATTGCGGCGCCATTTACATCTCCAATACGCTCTTTGAGAGCCACAAGTGTGGCTACAGTGGCAGGCATGTGCTGGATATCAGGTATCTTAGATAGGGATTCTGCTGCAATATTTGGGTGGCCAGCAGCAGCAGCAATCTGTGCCCTTGCCAAGAGAATGATCTTGGACTTTTCAGGGAACTTCCCAGCAAATTGCCCTAGTATTTCTTCAGCTCTCCCAACTTTGTTCTCTCTCACCAGAACAGCAACTTGGAGCAACAAAGGTATAACACTGTCAGGAAACATGCCCAGCAATGCAGCAACAAGTTCTCGGGCCTACAGAATTTCATCAATAAATACAATTTGTAAGGAAAGCTAGAGAACAACACTAACTTTTTTTGGTAAACAGTAATGGCAAAACAACAGGAAAAAAGAAAAATTCAGAACAAAGAAAAGAAAAGTAAATGTGAAGGACCTCATCCATTTTATTGGCATGTAGAAGTAGAAGAATTCGATTAGCATATATTGACTCCCTATGCTTTGGTGAAAGCTTTAAGTCAAGTACATGAGTAAATCGAAAGTTCTGTGAGTCTTTTTCTTTGAGTCGATCGAGTTTCCTTAAGCTATCAGAAATATCTTTAGAACCTTTCAATGTTATCAGGTTGTTTACTGCCACTGCAAGTGATGATTCATCTGCCAGATTTCGATTAATAATGTCTGTATATGCCCCAATTGCCTCTTGCTTGTGTCCAAGAAGCTGGTAAGATACCACAACAACCATTATTGGCCATTAAAATCCTAGACAAACGCGAACAATGAAAAGAAAAGAAAAGAAGAGGTAAAACAACCACAAATTACTGTTAATATACCTGCTGCACATAGGCTAGCTGGACAGCAATTGGTGCCAGTTCTATCTCTATATCATCCTCAGCAAAATTGTCATCTGTTAGAGTTTCCTGGCCAATTCTACAGAAAGCAGCATGTTAAAAACCACCATTTGTCAACTTCACTGTCGTGGAGAGTTAAGTGCATAAATAGCACAACGACCACGTGCATCAGAGCTTTGGGAATAATTTAAAAGAGTCGAATTGATAACTTTCTCAGGTAGTCTTGAGGCAGCACTTAATCCCACAAGGTGCAATTTTCACTTTCTTTATAGGGAAAACTACCGTCCCACCTATATTGTTTGGTATTTTTTGCAGTTTAAACCATATAATTCTTTGTCCGACAGTTCACTACCCTGTAGCTTAGTTACTTTCTCAGGTAGTCTTGAGGCAGCACTTAATCCCACAAGGTGCAATTTTCACTTTCTTTATAGGGAAAACTACTGTCCCACCTATATTGTTTGGTATTTTTTGCAGTTTAAACCATATAATTCTTTGTCCGACAGTTCACTACCCTGTAGCTTAGTTTTTTTTCATTTATATAAAAGCATCAACTTCTTATGTAACATCTGCAGTTATCTGAGCTTTTAAACAAGAAAACGTGAAAGTTCATCGCCAAATAAATATTACGGGAAAATAGCAAAAAGTTATAAACAGCCTAAAAAGATTAACAGTTTTATATGAATTACAGAAAACAAAACCATAGGTCACTGAACTGTCACCTAAAAAAAACAGATTTCTGAACTGTAATAAGTAAAGTCACATAGGTGTGAAATGTGATAAGTCCCTCGAATGTTAAAAAAGTCAAAAGTCATCTGTATATTTAAATTTTCTCATTTTCTTATTTCATGGTAGGAAGAAAAATGAGAGAGGACAATTTTTTTTGTATTTTTTAAAGAAAAAGAAACTATATTAGAAGAAGACATTGGTAATATAATTTGAGGATGATAAGCTATCCTCCAGAATGGACGATAAATAAAAGAACAAAGAAAACAATTGAGGACAGGAGATCACAATCCAATTCCTTTACATTAAAAAGAACCTGTAGAACAACTGTATGTTTTGACTCCAAGGAGAAGGTAAGCACATAATCCTATCTCAGATATCATTTGCAGAATAAGAATATCGCTTGAAAAATTATTGCATTTCTCTTCAAACAAAACACTAAAAGACTAATAAAAATAGCCCCTCCAAAGGAAAGAATGATCCAACTCTCCCAAAATAGCACAAAAATGCAGAAATGAAAATCTTCAAGTTTGCAAGACAAACCCAGTGGCAAAGAACAATTTGCAAAAGTAGAAGTTCAACATTCCGAGTCAAATCTATAAGGTTCCTACATAATTCCTTCAAGGCCCTTCAACTAAATCACTGGCCCAGAGGAAAAAGAAAATGTGAATGGAAAAAACTTATGAAGTGTGCTTCTTCTAATAACATAAGATTGTAAGATAATGCACCAAGAGGATTCAAGTGCAACCTGGTACAGATTTATTTACAAGAAAATATCTCAAAATTTCTGTAAGTCCATCCTTTATAGAAAAAAAAAATATATTTTTAAAGAAGAGAATGGCATAATTGCATAGATGAAAAATAAGATATGTTTTTCAATAGACTTCTAATAGAAAATTCAAAACCACTCAATAATTACAAATAAACCCACTGACTGCTTCTCTCTAATGGAGATGGCACGTCCATCCTATTCCTCTATTTTGCTTTGACTGTTAAAACCAGAAAAGAGAGTACATATCCATCTAATCTATAACCTAGCAAACACTACTTTCTCCGTTATCAAAAGTTCTTTTAATTCGTTCACTCAGTACAAGAAAGAATTATGAATTATAGAATTTTCCTATCTAGCTTCTTGAGAAGTGTAGACAACTTCCAAGCTGAAATCTCAGAACGCATATTTAAAAATTAGCAGAATAAACCGTATTTTCCCCAGCACATTACCACAAAAGAGAAGTTTTTTCAATTGACAAAGGATTGTAAACATTTGATCAGGTTGCAGATAACTGACGAACAACCTTAATTTAAGTTATTAATTGACATTTCCAAGCAACTAAAAATGGTCATCCAGTAAAAAAGTTACTTTAATAGAAACCGTTTATTAATTAAGGCATGTGTAACCAACTAACAGCAATACTCTTATGTGTAAGGCAGAGACTTATATGCTTGACCAATTTCCACAACCATAGCTGAGTTTCTGAAACCTTTACATCCACATATAATATTAAAATTAGTATTATATTTTAATATCATTCAGCAACAAGAAAAACTTTTCTCCAATATAATAAATCAAGCCTTTCATATAGACACATGGTGTAATACCTTCGGGCTGTCAACAAGAGTTGTTCTGCATCTGCGTGCTTATCTCTTTCAATTAAAGAGCAGGCGATGTTGTATGCCAACTCAAAGCTGCTAGTTGCTTTAATCCTAAGAGCCTCCAGAGTTCCTTGCACTTCAGAGGACCTCTCCGCTGAAACCAAGCCAGCAACCATGTTTATTTCGAGGGAGTCAATCTTCGACTTTAGAAGCTTTTGGTAGATGTCCACACAAGCATCCATCTTTCCTAGACGATATAGAATCTGAGACTCCAACAGCATAGTCTCTGAATTCCTCTCCTGGCCTTTCATAGATTCCAGAGCCTCATCTAATTTGTTTTGTCTGTATAGGCAGTATGCCTATTTGGAGGTAACAAATAGAAAAACAGAAAAATTAATAGGAGAATTGGGAAAACTAATGTAACTCTATGATTTTTGCTTTAATCTACAAAATCTCCCCACTTTAAAATTCAAACAAAAACACAGTCATTTTCAAAGAAAACTACAACAAACCCTCCTTTATTAATCCCTGTTAAAATGTCTGTCATTTGACCAGCACCATGTCAATTTATTTCCTTGGTAGCTCAACTTAACTCTGCCACTTAAGCTAAATACCAGTACATAAAGCAAGAACAGCTATTAACAACCTTAAGCACACCATCACCACACTTCTTATCTTTTCCCATCTCAGCATGTCTGTTTTTACGTATGCATTCGTATCTTTCTCTCTCTTTGATTATCCAAAGAATAACTCATAGGCAGTAACAATTCAAAGATAATAGCTTTAAACCCTGAAGAAATCTGTGTCTTCTAGCATGAAATTGAAAGATTTTTTTCTTATATGCATTTTGGAATCACGAGAATGATGCAGCGGAGGAAGATTTGAGAAAAGAGCTGACAAAACAAAGAAGAAATATTGGGCTGGTGGTGTTTGAAGTGGGATAGAGGAGCTGGTCGTGCTATTTGTTAGTTGTGTTCCTTGATGGATACTGGAACATTATTAAACATAATTGTTGGAAGTTTGTTTTTGTTCTAAGCCAGATGGCATTTAGTGGCAGATATAAGAAGAAAAGGGGTAGGTTTCTAGATGGGAAAAGATAATACATATGAAGGAAAGAGACTATTTACATGGATGATGGACTAGTGGAGCTAAAAATTTTCAAGAAAGATCTGATTCTAATTTATTTTCTGAATGTTTTGGGTTTGGATTATTATTAACAAGGTTTAACTAAACCAGGAATATTGGTGGTTCTTGAATCTTTGCTTGATGGTGTGTGTACATGGGGTTTACAGTGAGAAGATGATAATGAGGCATGATCCACCATCTCATGAAGAAAGTAAAAAGGGAACTTCCTAGGGAGAAGATTATCTTAATGTCTTTGGCGACAATAAAAGTCTCAAAACTTGACTTTTCTTTTTTACTTTACAAAATAAATTTTAGATTTACTAATTTGTAAGATGGGCAACTTTTGTATTTTATAACTCTATGATGACGTGACAAGATCATAACAGGAAACTAAGGTTGATTTTGTTCAATCTTTTGAAAAAATAAAAAGGAGGTTTTTTTTTTA